ACAAAGAATAAGCATATCATGTGATATAGCTCTATATAATAATAATAAATGCCAAAAAAAAAAAGAGTTTTCCAGTGCAGAATTCGAATCTTGTTCTCTTTTTATCGAAGACGAGACTTGATTGAAAATTTCTAAGATGTTTTAAGTTAAGTTATCAAAATTTTGTTTCAAATAAAAAGTTCACTTTAATGTAACATATTCTGGGCCTTTTAAAAGAATCGATTTAAATAGACTGCTCACGCTGCAATAGACTTATCTAAATTTATATATAGAAAACAGTTTCATCAGATTCGCAAAAGAAGAAAAGACTCTTTCGTTCCCTCTGCTATTATATCCAGCACTTTCAACTTCCATCGATTGAATAACGAAGTCTACCCCCCCATTTCCCCTTTATCACAGATAAAGTTCTCTGTCATAATAACTTTGGCGTCTCTAAATGGTACGTATATCCGTAATAAATTGTTCTTGCAAACTTTCTAGATGGCAAGCTATATAAATAGTCTCGTGGAATCTTCCCCGTACCGTGCGTTCTCTACAACCCACCATCACCCCGAACCAACCTCAACCCCTCTTCGAGACGCGCTATACTACTCTTAAAGATGCTTTTCATTGCACTCCTACACAGTGAAATCCGATCGATGAGAGTATCTCGTTTTATCGCATGGCCAACTTGTTCCGTTCAATGTCCTCCTCCAACAAACCGGACCTCGAATCCTACTATACGCATCTTCCATTGTGTATTTCGCGACCTTATCTTCTCTCGTTTCCTCTATCCTTTAAAATCTCTGTTTCTTTCTGCATTTCATTTTTTTTTCTGTCCTATTCTTTACAGATGGATACGAACTTTAGAGAAGGATAAATAGCTTGATATTCATGCTTATTTCGTAAGTTCTATAATTTTATTATTATTTTCAAAAATTTTATTACCATAAAATCTGTTAAGCTTTCTTTATTAGTTTTTTTTTTAATCTCATTTGCGCAAAAGCTACTACGATTTTCTTCCTGTTGTATCCTGTTAGCTACATTTTGATCTTCTTGTCCGACTCGTTTCTTTATTTCCATTGTTACCATTCGTTACAGTTTATATCGACTTAATTGACTTCGCTTCAACCCGTGAAATCTCGACATGGTGGGTAATTGTGTGTGCGCGAGAAAGACTGATTGGTACGTGTCGATGGTTTATTCGAATATCAACGATCAACAATTTGAATCGCTGAAGAGTTCAATCGATGCAGTATACACAGAGAGATATAAACGACCATTTGCGAGGGAACATTTAAATAACTTCTATTAATATATTGCGATATTACTGAAGATTCTATCAAAGTCGAGTACTCTTTTCATACCTTTGATCAACACCTTTTATACGACTGAAAAGCGATCAGGATTAAAAATTTCACACCTTTAATTGAATCAAATACAAAGAATGCTCAAAGAATCATTTGAATCTTATGATACGTTTTCAAGTGATGCGGTAATAATAAATCTGAAGGAATGTAAAACTCGTAAAGAGATGAGATACAATTTTCGTGAACTAAATTCATGAAAACTATCTATTCATTTCCACCTCAAGAGACTTTCTGCTTCTTTCGGTATACCAAGAAAAGTTTTACATGCGCGCTGAAGTTTTCACCCGCAATTACTTGGGTATCTAAACTTGCTGGATAGTAATAAAGACTTCCCCTCTCGTATATACCTGCTTATCTGAATTAATAAAGTGAACTTATTCTTATTTATTAAATAGAAACTTTTGTGTCATATTATTGATCGAATAAGAATAAAAAAAATTAATGACACATTTTTGTAATTACATCTATTATCTTTTATAATTCATCTAGTTTAATTCGCTGTTATAAAATTTGTCATGATATCATCAAACCGCTTGAATATTAAAAATGTTAGTTATAATAATAATAAAAATAATGAAATGTACTACTATACTATACTAATGCACTTGTTTATATATATTATATAAAACATTCTATATCATATAAACATATATATATATATATATATTATAAAATATATACAATCTAAAACTAATTCAATCATTATTACCATAATTTATCAATTCTTAAAGACATGAATAATCATGAACATGAGAAACTAATTCTAAACAATTGATGCATGCAATTATTACCATCAATATGTTATATTGCATAATAATTTATCAATTTAATGTATTTATAAATTACAAATTAGGGCTTATAGAATTATAATAGAATTGTTTATAAATATATAAATATGTATTACTAATATCATATATAAATTGCAAAATTTTATTTATTTTATTACGAAACTTATTATTTTGTAAAAAATTTTATTAATATTAATAACTTATAATTTATAACTTGTAAAAACTTTATTGATATTAGCTCCATTTGAGAATAAATATATTTATTAATTTAAATTCTGGTGAAATTACTTAACAGCACAGAGAGAAAAATAATGTAACTATAAAGGAAATATCGACATTATCAAAAATAATAACAATTCGAAATTTGAATAAAAAAATAACAAAAATAACAATCATATCAGAATATATTCAACAATGTCACAATGACATCAGTAATAGCAAAAATTGTTTTCTATCTAATACATAATTTGTAATATTCAATTTCCTAACAAAAATTTTTAATAATGATTCATATTATAAGTAGAAAAGAGTAAAAATTTTTAAATTTTTTAAGTTAAGAAACTGAATTACTTTTATCATAATATCTGAGAAATTATGAAAGCCAAAGAAAAACCTATCTAATAAAAGTTGCACGATACAAAAGACCTTGTGATGACAAAGATTTCTTTCTATATGAAGATGCTAAGACATGAATGATCGTATTAATCTTAAGTCCAGTGACATAATTTTCTGACAATAAAATAAAAATTTTATAAAAAATATAATAATTTATATTTGTTATGCAAAAATTTAACTTACGCTTATATTGCGATTTTAATGTATTTAAAATATTAAATAATTCAAATAATATTTTGTTTCATTGCAAAGAATTTAAGAATTGCAAGAATTCAAATAATATTTTGTTTCATTGCAAGAATTTAAAGAACAATATAGATTTTACATATCATTTTCTATAATTAATTTTTTAAGAAAAGTATACGAGAGAAATCTCGTAAAAAAAAATCAAATAAAAAACGAATCTTATAACTGTTAAAAATATGTATTTTGTCAAAAACATATTTTTAAAATATATATCCAACATGCTTTTTAAATTATATTATTTAATAATTTAATCAACTTGACTTGATTTAATAACTTGATAAATTTATTTTAGAAAAATAAAACAATTCATCAGATTTAATTCATCAGATTGTTTAAAAATAAATTTTTAAAAAATACATAAAATAATTATATATGTAGAAGCAAAAAAACTTACCAAAATAGAATTTCAATTCGAAGAAAGATAAATATATTTGCTCTTGATTTATAATTTAATGTAGTTTTTTGTATAGCGCCTAAAATATAAAATCTATGTTAGCATATGAATCTTACATATCATTGACATTTTTTACAATCAGTATTTATTATACAATTTATATTTTCAATATAAATTTTCACTATAAATTATTAACATACCATTATGAACTTTTAATAAACTTTTTTTATATTACTTTCTTTATTTTTCAATTAAGTTCCAGATTCGATTATTAATCATCACTTATGAACATAATAAACTCAAAATTAATAAGCATGTATACATTTAATACATCAAAAACAATATTATAGCATTCTTTAAATTTCATTAATATATTTCACATGTAAAAATAAAACAATCATAAAAAATATTCACTTTAAATGTTCAAATATTTTCTTATTTTTAAACACAAAAATAGATGTCACATTAATTGATATATCATTGCCAACATAACCGTGTTACCGTTATAACTTGAATTTCACAGAAGTTTTAAAATTGCTCTCTAAATTTTGATTTGTCTGCGCAGAAAATGGTGGGGAGCTGTAACGAACTGCCGCAGTGTTGCACATTGCACCACGTGTCTACTTGGAAAGTTCGCGGGATAAGCAATGGCAAGCCACGTTGATGTTACAGTTACCTACCATATTGACCATCTTCAGATTAAGCATTATTAAACATTCACAAGGTATACGTGTTGCATATATGACTGGAGGATAGTCTTATACTACTTTATTGTGTTCATAATCTTTACTTTATATTTTCACTAGAAATGTTATTCTTGAATTTTTTTATATCTACATATATAATAACATGTAAATATTATACATTCAAAAAATATTATTCGAAATTATACAACATTTCACTAATTAAATATATAACTTATCATAAATTATATTATCAAACAAAGTAAATTTATTACTTTATTTTAATAGATAATTATTAATATAATGTTTTTTTCAAAATAATTTTATATTTTAAAAAATATGAAACATTTTCGATTATCGTGCAGTATTATTTCATATATATATATATTTACAATATATACATATATTACCATAGACGAAGTATCAAATAGATTCACATTTTACATCATAGATGAATTTTATCTGTGACTAATACATTATATTTTTTAAATAAAATAATTTAAATAAATTTTTTTTAATAAGTTTAAAATAAGCATATATAAATATAATAAATAATTAATGAGTATATTAATAAGTATAATATAATAATAAGATTTTTATAAAATATAATAAGTTTTTTTTAATTCTAAATGTAAAATAATGAAGGTTTTAATTCCAGTCGCTATTAACGCTACAATCGTTTTCTGTATTGAACCGATAATGTTGTATGTGACATGAAAATGGTAAGAGGATCAAGTAATTTTCGATATAATCTAAAAGAATTTTATATCTAGGGACTTATATCTAGAGATTCATATATCTATGCCCTAAATTCTTTAAACACGAAAAAACATTGCATGTTATATCTATTTTGTATATTGTCTATGCCATTATTACTATACTTGTACTAAAAACTATATAGTTAAAATATAAATTTCTAAATATTCTTTTATATAAAAATTTTCAAAATTATATATAAAAAGGAAAAGTTAAGTAAGTTTATTGAATAAATAAATTATCATTAATAGTTTCTTCTATCAAACGATATATTATACATCTTTTTCTAATATTTTAAAATACTAATTTAATGATAAATAAAATTGTTTTTAGCATAAATATAGTTTTGATATGATTATAATAGTATAAGATTTGAAGGAAACAACAAATTTTATCTTAAATTTAAATCTATTGCAATCGGCAATATCATTTTCTACTATTACGAATTCATTTATACAAATTTTGTTCAAGTAATGCACAATTTTATCTAACAACAGTTAATCAACAAATATCGTTTCCTATTTTCGTTACGCATGAGGTTTACTGTTGCATTATCAAAGCTTAATTTATTTTAATATTGTACCTATTATATATTAAGGACAATGTCTTATCAATTATATCGAAACACAACATTAGGTAATACATTACAAGAAAGCCTGGATGAATTGATTCAAGTAAGTGTAAAAATATATTGAGGTTAAGATTGTCAATCAATCTTAATCAATCTTATTTCTATTATTATTGTAGAATTTATTATATACATTTCATTTAAAAAAAAAGTTTTCATTGATATATTATATCTTCACACAATGTCATAATTTTAAATTTAAAATAAACAATAAATTTTAATTTTAATATGAATTTTTAATAGAATTTTTTAATTATAAGTTAAATATATATATAATCTAATAAATTCAACTCGTATAATGTTATAGTATGGACAAATTACACCTCAATTAGCAATTAAAGTACTATTACAATTTGATAAAGCAATAAATCAAGCACTTGCAACCAGAGTTAAATCACGACTTACATTTAAGGTAAATATTGATATAATTGTAATTTGTAAATAATAATTATTATAATTATTTAAATTTTTTATACATATTTTTTATAAATATTACTAATTATTTAAATTTTTTAGGCTGGTAAATTAAATACTTATAGATTTTGTGATAATGTATGGACTTTTATGCTTAATGATGTTGAATTTCGTGAAGTTCAAGAAGTTGCAATAGTAGATAAAGTTAAAATTGTTGCTTGTGATGGAAAAAGTAAGTAATTAATAAAGAAATCTTATTTTTATAATTATCTAATTAATTGTTTACAAATGTCTATATTAAAAAAAAAATTAGTTATTTCTAAAAAGTATTATATAAAGTATTATATAAAGTATGATAATTATTGAATTTTTATATTACAGCATTGGATGGAGATGCAGCAGCAAAGCGATAACATCATTTACATATTTGAATATATTATTATATTATAAATAAAAAAAATATTAATTATAAAGAAATTTCATAATAGATAATCAAAACAAAGTATATATATAATATATCCAATATAGATATATAATTTTCATTTTATTTTATAACAATTTAATTTTGTTATACACTATATCTTAAATATCATTAAAAATATCATAATATTATGTTGAAAATAGATATTTAAATATTAACTTTTTTGTCATATCAAAACTTAGCATTAGCTTTATTTTTGTATTATACTTGGGAATGGATAGATTTTACATATTATATTTACTATAACTTATCTTGAAAAATATAAAAATATATTGTATAATATAATCTTTCTATGTGGTCCAATCTGTTGTTCCAAAGATGTAAATAATTTTTCAAACGAGACTGTAAGATTTATTAGGATATTTAAGTGATACAAAGTGGCATTAAGGTTATATAAGAATGTAATTACAGTGTACTTTGTATTATAAATAGAATTTTTAAATATTAATAATATTCTTTCATTATTTATAATAATTTATTCATAAGTACATACAATAAATTTATAGTAAGAAGTAATGTACCTATACTTGTTATCATTAATATAACAGTTTGTCTAATATTTTTATTATGAGGTGTAAAATTTAATAAATAAAGTATAAGTATATTTATGATATATTGTCCATCTAAAAAGAAACAAGGCACGATATTAATAACTGCTAATCCCGCAGAAAATATCGTAATATATTTACAAAGAAGAGTTAAAACTTCTGGTAATTTAGGACTTAAGAATGAATATTTGGGTACCCAATCAGATACATCAATTGTCCGATAAATATCTGCTGGATATCCAAAAAATAAGACATCCTTTCCTTCTTTTCTTTTTATTTGAACAATCTACAACAGAAATAAATTTATTAAATAAATTAATTTTCAATTTTATTTGATAAAATTTTATTTAATTTTATTTAATTTAAATACTTAAATACTTTTCTAATTGTAAGTTATTCTTATATACACACCTTAGTAATATTATCAAGGGAAGGTCTTAAACAATGAGTATCATGAAATATGCATTGGTAACTAGCATGACAAAAATTTTGTGACTGATTAATCATAGTTCTAGCTGGAAGACAAGAATGAGGTGGCAAATGTAAAGGAGCTGCTTGAGGCCCTTCAATATATTCAAAACATAAATTTCCAATTGCTTCACTATCTGGTGTACAACAATTAATAACACCATTAGTTTTCTGTTTTGATGGGACTGATTCATCATATTCCTATTTATTGATTTAAAATATAAAAATGTTTATTTATTGTAATAATAAAATAAATAATAAAATAAATAAATAATATTAAAAAAAAAATTATATACAAAGATATTACCTGAATAAATGATTGTTTAACACAATATCCAAGAGCTGGTTGATTAATTGTATTCAATATACAATCATACCAGTCTTCAGCATGTTTTATAGAACAGTCATTTATCTCATATATTACATCCTGTTCAAGAAGTCCTGTAGGACCTAATACAGGTGAATTCTATAAATTAATATGTAAATTTTTATAGAAAGAATTTACAATTTCTAATTTTATATTTCATGATTAGTTTTATCTTAATCAATTTTATTTATTTATATTAAACAATAAGTTTATAAAATATAATAATTATTAATATATTAATATATTCATTGTTTCGAAGATTATCAGCATTTAAAAAAAATATATATTATGAAATAAGCTATAGCATTTTGTTATAAATGTACTTACATTAATGTTATAAATGTACTTTATAATTTATATTAATTCATATACATTAATTTGACAGTTTAATCAACATGATTAAAGCATGATTAATCAACTTACAGGTAAAATAGTTTTTACATAAATTCCATTTCCCACTGCATAAAATGGTGCCCACAACCATGTAGAAAGCATAAGAATGGTGGCAGCCACTGTAGCAAGTACTACATTATGCCAAATTCCTGCACAAGTAACTCTTAGTTGATTTTTTAATGGTAATGAACTAAGTTGTTCACTGCTTATATGTACATAAGCTATAGGTATTGTAAATGCAATTAGTATTCCTAGACCAAATAACTGAACATCTTCTCTTGCTGCAGCCAATGCATGTCCTAATTCATGCATAATACTGCAAATTGTTAATGTAATGATATAATATCCAATTTCATTAAAGGGCACATCTATTCCAGGTAACTGTAGAAAATAAAGATGTATTATTTAATAAAACATATATTATTTAATTTTATCAAATAAAATCTTTTATTAAATTTATTAGTAAACATAAAATATTATTAAATATAATTTATATTTGATATATTTTTACTATAAAAAAAATTAAATTTAAAATATAATTTTCTTATAAGAATTTATTTCATTAAATTATCTTTAAAAATTATCTCATTAAAATAAATATTTAAATATTATATTAAATTATAATTACCATAGGTTCTAATAAAGGTTCAGAATTAGTATTATCAATAGATGGTCCGTTAGTCCATATATTGAATGTCATTCTTAAAATTGCAATTGTAGCAATAGGTAAAATAATAACACTAACAATCACTCCTGCATTAAACCAAACAGTCCAAAATTTAGAACGATCCATTCCCCATTTAATTATCTTACGATTAAATGCTGTAGTAAACCATTTTATTCGTAATATTTGAACTTCTAATCCAGTATTTTTCAAAAAATATAAGTAAGGATAATGTGAACATGTCTGTAAAATAAAATTCATAATTATTTAAAGATATATAATTGAAATCATTATTAAGATTAATATTTCTTTTTAAAATAATTATTTAATTTATTTAAATTAATTATTTAATTTAAATAAATATTTATTTTTTCATAATTTTAAAAATATTTGAAAATACATTCAATAAATTATACCTTAAAAATTGTGTCAAAAAAGAATAGCGAACAATGAATGAGACCTATTATAATTAATACATTTAAAACTTCCATTTTCGAATATTTTATTTTTATTTTTTATATAAACACTTTTCATATTACATTATGTATTGTACGTAAATATTTCTTTATTAAACTTCAGTTGGTATAACTTGTATAAAACTGATTTTTTTATATATAGTTGATACGAATGTGCTAGTAAAATATGACTGACAGTTGCATTCCCTAGATAATAGCATTTACTATTTTTATGATTACATTTATATTGAAAATAATATTCATTGAATTTTAAAATAATAGAACATAATAATTTAAAAACTTTTTGCAAAGTAGCTTATTTAAACTAAATTATTTAAACTAAATTTATTATTTATTTTTTTATTTCTATAAATATAAATATAATTCTTCTGTTGAAATAATTTTTATTTATTAAATATTATTTTTTTTTCTATTTTCTTTTGTTTTTATTATATTTATATATATATATATATATATTATTTTGTAAAAAACTTCTAAATATTACATAGGGAATTCAATATGAATGAGAATAGTTGACTGAATAATAATGACTTAGATACATCTAGAATAGAATACCATTCGATTATATTTGATCATTATCACTTTTACTTTGTTTATAACCTTTACTTATTAAATTAATAATGATATATGATATTTAATATATAATTTGGTATTTAATAATAATTTTTATTTCGTGTATAATTTAAAATCATTATTGTTATACTGACATGTCGTTAACTATCGAAAAACAAATTGAATTATTGTTAACTGGTCATCCTTTAGAAATTGATGATATGCATGAAACCATTCATGCTGCACAAAATGAAATAGGTAAAAATAAAATTTATAAATAATTAAATATCTGAAAATGATATTTTATTGATATTTTTATACATTATTTTATATGTTAATATTTTATATTTTTTATATGTTTTATATATATATATTAATTTTAATTTATTACATAGTGTTATAAAACTTATAGATAAAAAATATGGTAAAAATTATAAATATTTAATCTTTTTAACTTTTAATTCACATATTTAATCTTGATTTAAATAAATTCTTGCTAATCTTAATTTTTTTTTATGTAATCATTATTTATTATTAACATACAATAAAAAATATAGGAGAAACAGGAGTATCTAGTACTTATATACCAATTTGTCAGAAAACTGTAACATACATTGTTGCTGCAGTAATAATAAATAATCAAGGAGAAATATTAATGATGCAAGAAGCTAAATCTACTTGCAATGGAAAATGGTATTTACCTGCTGGTCGAGTTGAGCCTAATGAAAATTTATTAGATGCTGTTAAAAGAGAAGTTTTAGAAGAAACTGGACTTATATTACAACCAGAAACATTGATATTAATAGAATGTGCAACTGGTTCATGGTTTCGATTTGTATTTACTGGCAAAATAATTGGTGGTAAATTGAAAACATTAGAAGAAGCAAATAAAGAATCATTGCAAGCATGTTGGATAAGTAATATAAATGATTTAACACTCAGATCACATGATATTGTATCTTTGATAGAAAGAGGTAAAATTTATATCACGAATAAAGATGTTTCACAACATCCGAATTTAATGCCAATTAGTACACCATTAAACAAATTATTATTACGACTAATAATCACCTCAAAGAAAAGAGCAACGTAAGTTATATTCATTTGAAACATATTTTATTTAACTTTATTTTACACTGAAGTTTGAAATTTATTTTTAAGTATATCATTGCTTATGCTTGATTCTTTAGTATTTACGCTTTCAGTAAGGTCACTGGTGATAGTTTTCATAACAGAACAGCAACAATCTGATTATGACTGTGAATATGGATGAAGGCTTAGGTTGAAGTATAGTAGGTACACTTACATGCACATGCACTTGTACATATACATTTATAACAATAAATATAATTATTTATTTTTATCATTTCTGTTAAAACTCATAATACTAACAATTTAAATTTTTACAATTAAATCACAATTAATACTCTTAGATTAATTACTCTTTATTATTTACTCTTTATTAATTACTCTTTATTATTAATTACTATAATACATAATATAATACATAATATAATAATATAAAATAATAATATAAATTTTACTATAATATATATATTATAAAATTACTAATTATATTTTAATTATGTAATTATAAATTTGACTAATAAAAAATGTAAATAAATTAATATTTTCTTTATAACATTTTTCTGTAAATAACATATTTGATTGCATTGAAAATAATATTTATCAAAAATTACTATTTTATCATCTTTTTATCATCTATAAATTAATATATAATTATGTTATAATATATTTTATCAACAGGAATAAATTGCATATTCTTATATCAAATGCAATGCCATTTCATTTACCAATTTGTGAAATTAATCCAAATCGCAATCTTCTTTCAACTCTACATAATTTTATGAAGGTAAATTTTTATTTTAAATACATATTATATATTATTTTGATATAATATAAATAATTTTATATTATTATTTGATATAAATTATTTAGGAATTATTTGGAAATGGAGTAGCACAACATAAACCACATGGAGTACTTTCTCTAGAATTTAGTGGAGGACAAGGAGCAGATGGACTTTGTTTAACATTATTAGTATCATTTAAGTTACCTGTGGAAAATGTACCTGCTAATGAAAAATTTATTTGGTACGAATTGCCTGAAAATCTTGCTGCAAGTATCACTCATCGATTACCGCGAAATATGACTGTGCCTTTAAGTGTAATACGATAATCAAATATATATAATCTAAGTGCACATTAGATGTGTATAACATAATTGCATTTCAAATTTTAATTTATTTTTTTAGAGGTAAAAACATTTTGGATTAGCATTATATTTTGATTAAAATTGTGCATTTAATTAAATTTTTATAATTATTTCTAAAAATATATTTAAAAATTTTTTAATTATTGCTTGTTGTAAATTTTGTAATTGGAAAGAAAATAATATATATACATGCACATATGCATATAATTTTATATATACGCATACATAAATTAGATATACTTATCTCATATTAGAAATATCTAACAATTTCTAATTTAAAAAATATTTATATCATACATTTACATTTTTCCTAGTCTATACCAATGATTTTTTAACAAGAATGAATATATAACATATAATTTTTTTGACCTCGTAATATTTCTAAAACTTTATAATATTAATTAAATAATTAATTTTACATAATATGATATTATATATTAATACTTATTGTATATGAATTATATATATTAGTTTATTTTGTTAAAAAGAAGTTACAAAAACTTCCAGTTATTACCAAAAATTGTTGAAGATCTCTATTTCAATTTTAAGATTTATGTAAAAATTTTTATAAAAATAATCATAATTTAGAAAAATTGGAAAACTGACACATTATAGAAATTTATTTTTATATATTACAAAGAAATATTCCAAATACACATACATAAAATATATATACATATATATATATAAAATTATAAAATAATTATTATATTTAAACTCAAAAAATATTAATAATAATAATAAATATATATATTATTATATTAAATATATATGTTACATTATGGAAATGTATTGTATTTAATAAGAAGAAAATTTTAAATTATTTTTAATGTTACTTAAATAACATTTTTTTTAAGTTTTTTTGAGATTTTTATGTAATAATAAGCAATTTTTTATGGTATATATATTATTTATTAACAATGTAATAATTGAAATAAAAAATATTAATTATAACTTAATTTAATTAATAATTAAACTTAATAATTCCTGTATATCACATAAATAAATACATTATTAATAAATCAATATTTTTATAGAAATTTATTTAATATTTTATTTAAAAATAGAGAATATGTCAAAAAAATGAATATAAAATATTTATATCAAATTTAAAAATGTTAAATATCACAGAATTATTACATAATTAATAATATTTATACAAAATTTTTCAGTATACTTTCGATGTTTTTTATATATAACAATAATAAAAATAAATTTTGTACAAAAAAGTATATATTTAGTATATTTTTTCATATTACATTCTTTAAAATAGAATATATAATAAAAGTTTTTTAAATATTTAATATTTGAATAAGCATTATACATATACATAAATAATAAAATAAAAAATTATTATTATATATATATAAATAAACTTATATAAATGCTTAATGTATTATATAAAATTGCACATATTTTTAATTATATTCATATAGTTATAACATGATTACATATTATATATTATCTAAATAGGTCTTATTTTTTATAATATAAAACTTACATATAAAAAAATATATATATTTATATACTCATAATTGATATGATATTAATAATAATTATTACAAAATTTAAACTCTGATAATACATTTTTACAGTAATTATAGTTATAAAATAAATTTATAAGTTGAACTATCATTAATATATTTACTCAGTATATTAAAATTTTTTTTGATGGCAAAATTTTAATTGTGTTAGAATAGTTTACTATTAGTTTATTCATCATTACTTTCATTTTTTATAGGAACAATATTGTTTATATTAGACATTATTTTAATATCAGTAGTTTGAGTTAATGGTAAATTATTGAATGAATTTCTAGTTGTATTAAGATTTACTGCACCACTTATTTCTTGTTTTTCATTATCATATTGATTAATATTAGTATTAATATTTATAATATGTTTTTTCATATGAGTTGTTAAATTTCCACTATGATAAAAGTCTTTTCCACAAACTTTACATTGAAATGGTTTAATTCCAGAATGTATTCTTTCATGAATTGATAAATTTCCACTATGTCTAAATTCTTTACCACATACAGCACATTTATATGGTTTTATACCTGAATGAGTTCTTAAGTGTGTTGATAAGTTTCCACTATGACTAAACATTTTTCCACATATTTGACAACCATAAGGTCTTTCACCAGAATGTGTCCTCATATGGATAGCTAAATTTCCACTATGGGTAAAACATTTCCCACATTGATTACATTTATAAGGCCGTTCTCCATTATGAGTTCTCATATGTATAAATAAGTTACTTTTATGTCCAAATTCTTTAAAACATATTTCACATTGACATTTAAGTTTTTTTCCTATATTTAATTCTGAAGAATTTTTAGATGGTCTTCCAGGACGATTAGATTTTGTAGGAGATATAGGTTCAGAAATTGTTATTTGATTTACAAATTTTGTTGATTGTATATTGTTGATTTGAGGAAATTGTGATTGTTCAGCTTTTTGAGTCATATCTATATGATGTCTTTGATTCATTTGATTCAAACTTTCTTCCTGATTAACTTGAAAAATTGTATTATTTTGTACATAATTTTTCATATATGTTAATGAATTATTTTCCTAAAATATTTAATTTATGATTAGTTTCTTAATAAAATATTGCATAAATTATATGATTTTATATTTACAATTATTTGAATTTAATAAATTAATAAATTAAATAATGTATAATTTTAAATGAAATTATATATTTTTAAATATTTATAATATTTATTGAAATTATAAAACCTACTTCAGTTTGAAATAAACTGCATTGACCATGGATTTGATTTTTTGAATATATTTCATTAGATAACTGTGCATGATTCCAAAATTGTGATAATTCATTATATTTATAATCTTCTTCAATAAATGAATATTTAGAATTATTTGGAACATTAACTTTATCATCAGAGTTAACATCTTCTATTCTCATACATTCATGTTTTATTTGTAGAGGATGAAACATCTATACATGTATATATATTAAAAAATAATTAAAATTAATAATATTTTTATGTTATTTATTAAAAATAATTAGAAGAATTTTAATTTATTAATTGATTTATCAAAATAAAAAGGCTATATTTCAAAGAGAAGATATTTTTTTAATTAGAAATTCAAAATTATTAATATTGAATAATTATTTGCAAGACAAATAAATAAACATTTAAAATTTATATAAAATACACATACATTTAAAAAAAGATATTTTAAAAGTAATAATCACTGCACTATAAGTTTCAATTCTTCATAGTTTAGTCAAAAAATCAATTTTAAAACAAACAACATGACTGACATACACTGTCACTTAAACACATTTATTTATTATATGTATCTTGTACAAAGAAATAGTTATTTATAAACATTTTTGTAAAATATCAATATATCAAATAATTAAAGGCTGTTTTATTAGATTAAAAAGTTCAATTTATTTCATAAATAATATAAATTTTTTATATCATCAACAGTGCCATCTAGGAAAACTACTATCTTTTGGAGGGCTAAATTAGTAATTTTTGAATTTTATTACACCTAACTAAACATTTTAAATATTTTTAAATTTAAAATAGATTTAATGTATGCATTAAATCTTAGAACAAATAATACAATCAAATAAAAAATAATTTTACATAAAAACATAAATTAAAAAAAAAAATAAAATTTAAGACTTCAATTTCAAGTAAATTAAAATTAAAAATTTTTATATAAAATTTATTATAAAATTAATAAATATAAAATATTTATAATACATGTGAATAAAAATCAATATATAAATATTTATAAATATTAATATATATAAATCAAGAAATCAGTATATATATTCATACTTTATTTATAATCTTATTTGTAAAATATCTTTATGTCTGTTATTTTTATTATTATTAATTTAATATTTGAACTATAATTTTTAACTACGTTTATAAAAATAATATATAAATAGTATCCTTTTTTTTTTCTCTTTATTTACAATATCAAATATGTTATAAAAATATTCTATAAAGAATATTATATTAATTATTTTATTTTTATTATTTTTATAAAAAAAAAGAATACATATGTGAAAATTTATTTAAAATCTAATAATTTTAGTTATATAAATAAATTAATAATATTTATAATTATATATTTTTTTTAATCAAATTTATAATCTATTCACTTTCCGTATAGAGTGCGCTATTTATTATCGTATTTATCATCATTCACTTCAGGAATTCTATTTTGTTTTAGTAAGATCCTAGTATCGTAAAATTCTATATATAAATCTTATATATATATATATATATATATATATTTATGTATATATATATATTTTATTTGTGGACAAAACAAAAACATAAACACTTGTATCGATTAATTTCTATATATGAAGAATTATTGATTTTTTATGTATTTCTTTTGTTATTAAAAATAATGTTACATTAATATTCTTAAAAGAAACTAAAAATATGTAAAAATATATAAATTTAAGTAAATAAAAATTATATTCTATATATATATATATAAATAATATATATATAGATTTTGAATATTATATCTCCTATAATTGTGCAAAAATATAAATTGGAATACAACTTTGTTAATTAGTAACTATTAAATCCAATTATGTTGTTATAAAAACCATTTTTTATTTAAAAACAATTAGACACATATAAAAGCAATAATAAATTAAAATAAATTAGAATAAATATTTGAAATGTAAACTCATACATTATGCCTAGTGGAAGACGTAATGCAGCTAGTAGAAATGGACAAGCTAAAATTCAAACTAATTTTACTATGTCTTCAAATAATGGTATCCGAAGTAATAGTGGAGAAAGAACAGCAGGTAGTGGTGCAGATGATAAAAAATCAGAAGAACCTTGTGGAATAAAAGCATTAGTACCAAAACATGTACCTATACCAATTGTACCTGTGGATGGTCATTTATCATTTGAAGCATTATCTTTAGTTGTATCAATTATTGCAGCTTCTTTACAAATGCTTAATTTATATAGAACTGTATGGTGGTTACCTCATTCTTATAATAATTATAGTATGGTATGTAATTTAAATTATTTTATATTCAAATCAAAATTCATATTTTTCATATTTTTATCTCATATTATACTATATTTATTTTATTATATTTATTATATATATTAATAAAAGCATATAATTAATTTTTATTTAATTTTTCAGAATTTCTATTTAATAGATCCTTATTTACTTATATTTATTATAACTATGGTAGCAAGACAATTTATTTATTCTTTATTGCGTAGAATTATTGATATTTCATCACCAATTCGTTGGTTATCTACTGCTCAAAAAATGATGAGGTATGTTTTACTATAAATTATAAAATACATAATATATAAATTTATATAAATAATTCTAAATATTATTTTGCAGGATAACCTTGTTAATCATTGTGATGAATATATTATGTTGGTGTCTTTATCATATGGCTGAAAAACATAACTCAATGAAAATTTTTTATTTATGTTATCCGTTTGTATTATTTTATTAAATTATAATTTTTCATTATAATATATTATATTAATTTATATATGTAATATATATATATATAATATAAAATATCAGAAATTTTTATTATACTTTGTTTCAGAAGTTTATCTGTATATTTTGTAATGTTTGGTATAAGTGCAGCACCTTTTTTTGATATATCAGCAATACCTTTATATAGCAAAGATGAAAAAAAAACAAAATTTCTAATAGGTATATATCTTATATATTATAACTAAATTTTAGTTATTAATAATAACTATAATTATTATTATATTATATTTTTATAATTATTATTATAAATTGATTTATTTATACATATAAAATATATAATTTTTTTCTTTTATAGATAAACCTTTACATAATTGTTCATTAAATGCATCGGCAATCAGAGCAGAAGTTTCAACATTAAGATCTGATTTTAATCGTCGTTTAAAACGAGCTTTATTTGCATCCTCTAGTAGTGCTTATGTATGTGGTATTGCACCCATTATATTTGTACCTCAACATTTACATTTTAATGTTTCATGGGTTGTGCAACATGTTATTATGTTCTGGCTTGAAAGAATAAGTGCTCATTTTACACATACTTATCCTGTCAGGTATATATTTATATGATCTTACTTAATGATCTTATATAAACTCATATTTCATATAAATTGTATAAGTTCTATAACAATTTTTTTGTTGTAAGAATGTACAATATGAATGTTGTATTAAACAATTCATTTCCAGAAATTTGATGAATACTGTAATTATTTAGGTATTGTGACGTTTTACATAGAGCAGCATTACATCTTGGTCGATGGATTAAAATTGAAAATCGAAATAGTCACACTTATGCTCAAGCCTGGAATGATTCAGTGTTATGGCCTCATGGTTCAGTTGTTAGACATAACAAAGAAATTTATCGTTCAGAAGGTTTATGCACTGTGGCAGAACCAGGAAATTCAAATCATTATAGATTTTATGTATGTGATAAACATTAAAATCTCATTAAAAATTTTATTTTGATTACATTTATGAATTTACTAAGAAAATTGTAAATTAATATTATAATTATTTTATATAGGCTTTATTTAGTAATCCCACAATGTTACTTTGCTCAATGTTGGGCTTGCAGCTTCTTCTTGTGTGTGCACAATTATTTATTTTATTACGCACAACTGATTGGTATCAAGTATTATCAATAACATTGCTTCTTCTGATTAACTATTATACTTTATTTAAAATTACTAGAGATTATCTTATTTGTTGGAAAGTATATCATGCTGAGCAAATAATACAAGAAAAATCGCAAATGATTGCAAATTCTAGTGTACAATAAATAAAACAAATTTTTAAAAAATGTTTGTTATTCTATATATCATTTTTTAATATTAATTAATTTACTATTTTTATTTCATTTTAATTAATCTTAAATAATAATTCTTTTAGAATTTTTATCTCAAATTCAAATTAAAAATAATTTATATTTAAAAGTAATTTCGATTCCTCCAACAAAGATACTCTTGCTGTTTCGAATAATGGATATACAGTAATTCGATTTTATGCAGACAATCCAGGTATATAATTCATATTTATCTCTGAAAAAAATTCTCTGATTAACATATATGAAATTAAAATGTTTCAAATATAACTATTTATAAATATTTGAAATATAAATATTATAAATATTTTAAGGCGTTAATATTATCATTTATCATTTATTATTATTGATAAAATTAAACGATATTTCTTTTCAAGAATATTGGTTATTCTATTGTCACTTTATCATCAAATAATTGATATGGAGATAGTTCTTAATATTGGAAAACAAAATGATTTATTTCCTATATCTTTTCTGAGATATGATAATTATAATATACCCATTTTCTGAGATATGATAATTATAAGCCGGAAATTAGAGTAGGAAACATAAAAATGAATTAAATTGAATAATAAAATAAATATTTTGAATATTAATTATATCTTATAATTATATTTTATTAAATTAAATTGTAACTACTTCGTAATTATTTTTTTAATCTTATTTTTAAAATATTATAAAAGAACATATCTTTTGTAATATTATAAATAAGTATATTTCTATGAAAAAATAATTTTTCTTTTTCATTTATTATGAAATTATACAATATATAAAAATGAAAGAATTTGTTCATACATAAATTACATAGTACAATATAATTTTATTATAATATTTTCCATTGTATAAACTAAGTTATTAAAAAATTTATTTATCTTTTCATTTTTGTTTTTCAATTATATAATAGCCAATATTTATTCTGATTTAAACTTAATACTAATCGTATTTTTAATTATAACTTTCATATGAATAACGGGATATCATCATTGATATTATAAACATTAATAAGACAATCCATATATTTGGATTTATTTGAAATGCTACATTCCAATTTTTTATCTTCTCTTTTATCCAGCTTTCATAAGAAAATACACTAGTATACACATCAGGAAAACCCATTGCGCATGGTATACCGAAAGAAACGATTCCCACTTCTTTGCCATTTACAACTAAAGGACTGCCAGAATCGCCCTAAAACAAGAAATTTTAATATGAGTTACAATAAATTTAAATTAGATTAAAATATGATGTTTGGATATGATATCATTAATGATTAAAAACAAAAATTTATGTTACTTTTAAGATCAAGAATTTCAACTCTTAGATTTTCAATAATATAATATTGAAAATATAATTTAAAGAATGAAATAACAATATTATATATTAAAAATAATAAATATCAATCATAAAACATTTTTCATAAAAAATTTAATTCTATGGAATTTTAATAAAAAATTAGAATTTTATATTTTATAAAATTTGATTCTGTTGAGGTCATACTAAAAAGAAATATATGAAATATTGCAAAGCATAACAAAATCTTTCATTATTTAAAATATTTAAATAATATATAATAGATAACTTACCATACAAACTCCTTCAATTTCCTTATTTAAAGTGCATATATTATTTTTCATTGATCTATTATATACATACTCGCATTTTTCTCGCGATATTATAGTCACATTTAATACTTGCAATTCATAAGGAATTATAGATTTTATTTTATTCTGTAAAAAAATTAACATACATTTTAATAAAGCTATTCAATATTTTAATATTTGTAAATTATTCATTATAGTAATAAATTACAGGTAATTATATTTTATCATATAAAAAATTATTTTTGTTCATATATATAATTTATATTTTAAAAACTTACTAATTGTCCCCAACCAGTTATCACAGCAGTTGTATTTTCAGGTGTATAATTCGATGCAAGTGAAATCGGCTGAACTTTTTTATTATATTTTATATAATTTTTTACACGTATTAAACCGATATCATTTATGATCATGATTTCATTATAATTTTCGTGCCAAATCATTTCCTTAACGACATAAATAGTACCAGAAGATAAATAATTGGTTCCAACAACAATTGTTATTTCTGATGCATTTTTTCTGTAAGTATAAGATTAACAAAAAATTAAATAATAATTTTAATAAAACATGCAAAATATAATAATAATTTTGATTTTGTAAAAATTAGAATTTATAATTAAAAAACATATTATTCTTTTTACATTTTCTTAAATTTCATAATTCAAAATTTTACTTTAATGATTTTTCAAGTATTATTCTATAACAAGTATCTACAATAAATTTTAATACGTACAATATATATATATATATATATATATATATTAATTATATTGATTATATTATAAATTGATTATAAATTATCAATATGTTGATAAATCTTCAATAAAATGTTCAATAAATTTTCAATAAAATCTCAAATTCGTTACTATAAGAATTCTTTCAGTGTAAAGAATAAATATCTATTATATATAATAATATATATAATAATGTTTATTATATATTATTACTTATAATTAATATTACTTATTATTACTTATATATATATATATATATATATAATAATGTTTATTATTATTATTATTATTATTATTATTATAGAATACTACTACAAAGTATAATTTATATTGTTAAAATGATATTAGATTTTTTATTTACATTTTATATTTTATATTATTTGTGATTTTTATTCTTTATTTTATATAATATAAATGTTATAATATAAATGTTTCTTTTTTATATAAAATTATATTATTGAAGTTATAAAAATTATATTAATAATCAAATGATTATTAATAATATCTTTAAAATTTTTAATCATTGTATTCCAACTAAAATAGATGTAAAACTAATATAAAGCGATTTTTTAATTATTATATTTTTAAAGCAAATTTTTTTTCTTATAAGCTTACTGATAAATACAATGCGCAGCAGTAAGGATTGTATAATAATCAATAATAGATCCACCACATATATGATAATTATTTAATCTAATTGATACTTGATAAGAATATTCACCATCTGCAGCATCATGACCACCCACTATACGTGGAGTTACAAATCCTGAAATCAAAAGTACACTATTAAAAATATTATTAAATATTATATATTTATAAATGTAATTTCAATTTAAAATAAGAACTTGAACGTAATTTTTTTACTATTTCTATTATTATTTCATTATACTATTTATACAATTAAATATTTTTATAATTTATTTTTAGATTTAAAACAACAAATAATTTTTTAAAAATTAACTATTTCAAATTTCTTGAATTTCTTGAAAATTTACCACTAGCTACGAAGTCAATAATTAAAACTGTAACTAATACGTGATAAAACATCATGACGATAAAAAACAAAATCTATACTGTTGATCTAATATTTCCATTCTATTGATACATTAACAGAGATTGATAAAAAGTTATCTTATTCATTTTAAAATTCTTCTTCATATATTTCTTGTAAAAGTGTTTCATAAATAAGATATGAGTGTATATATATAGATTGATATCAGATAGATTAAAGAAGGAATATTAAGAAATGAAAAAAATTGTTTTAAGATTACAAAGTTTTAATTTTTTTATATATAAATTTTTTTTATATAAAAATTATATTTATATATTTGGAAATATATCATTATAAAAATATTCATTATTAAAATTTTAATAAAAAGTAATCAAGAATATAAGAATTATACTTAGATATTTAAATAAAAATTAAAATCATATTATTAATACAAAAATAATAAAAAGACATGAAACAGTTATTTCTACGTATTTTAAAATTGTGTGTAACTTACAATTGGAAAAATATTGTATGAGCAAATTTTGAATGAAAAATGTTAATATTAGAATATATTTTCGTTTCAAATACTTAAAAATACTTTTATAAATAAAAATTGAATTTTAGAACAATATCTATTTAAGAATAAAAAATTTCATTTTTATTTTATTATTATACAATAAAAATGACTTAAAATCATCGATCAACCGATTGTTTATAAAAATAATATGTATATATATATATATTTTTTTTTTCATTATTTTATTATATTTTAAATGTAACAAACTTAATTGACACAAATCTAGAAAAATAGAAATGAAATAAAAAAGAAAAAATATCTGTATCTATTCTAGAAACAATTTCAAAGATTAATAAGAAGAATTCTGTGTCAATTAAAAATGCAACAATTAAGCATGCATTATAATATTTAATAAAAAATATCAAATCAATTTTAAAAGTTCTAACTTCATTGGAAGTTTTTCAATACATTCATACAAAATTTTTTGTTATCAATTTACATCACGATTTGGTAGAAAAAAAGGATTACTTAATCGGATTACGATTTCATTATTTTATTTATTTGATATTTACAATTTTGATGTAATAAAAAGATATTATTTTTCTTTATTACAGATACATATAGCAAGTATTTTATTATTACAGCAATATTGTTTTATCATATTAATTTATTATTATATATACACATAAAGTGGTATTAACAAAATCAAATATATCGAAAAAATATTAATCTTATGATTTATTTTATCATCTCTTATCTTATAATGAATTTATATAATGAATTGTATTATAAAGTAAGTATTATTGATTGTATATATATTGTATTGTATGAATTCTAAATTTTGCGGTCAATTGTATTGTGTCCCTATAATGAATATTATACAAGAAATGTTTTTTTCTCTCTTCATTCTCACCGGTATGAATTCTTTTTTCTTTCGAAAAGATAATTCATTATTTTCATCTGCTTATAAAATTAAAAAAATTTATTAAATGTTATCGGATTTACTATTTCTTTACAATTTTTAATTAGAAAATCATTATAAATCAGAATTCAAATGTACAATAATTTTCCATTCTCTTAGTTAAAGTTATTTAAAGAGTTTTATAAATGATTTAATACAACTTTTTAATAGTAAGTCAGAATGTAACTGCGAAATCTATTATCGCGGGTTATTCGCCTGGAATATGTAGCATGCCAGTCATTAATGAAACAAATTGTTTAAATGATGAACTTCTTCAGAATGTTCTCTTGTCGAATTCTATCGAATGTGCACGTACATGTAGAACAGGAGATTCAAAAACATGTTATTATAAATTTGTGATTGAACGTTATCCTGTTAATGGCTAGTAAGTAATATATCATATTACAGGATATTACATATTATATTTATTATACTTATATCAAATTAATTAAAAATTCATTGAACTTCCGTTTAAGTAAAAGTTGAATATCTTCTTAAAAATATTTTCTATCGGCGATCTTTCAATTATGAACAATATTATTAATTAGTTTGTTGTTTAAGAAGTTATATTCTTGTTTGTTATTTTATTTTAAATATATCATAGTTCATATATAATAAATATATGAAAAAATTACTCTTTATAATATATAATACATAATATATAATATATAATACATTATATAATATATAATACATATAATACAAATAAATTAAAAAACTATTATTTAAGAAATAATTTCTTATTTCTAGCGCATGCAATCTATGCATACCGAACATTACAAATAGCTTATGTGCCGATTGCCAATGCGTTCCTGGAGATGGAACACAACGAATGGCTTTAACTGTCAATAGAATGATACCAGGTCCAAGTATACAAGTTTGTCAAGGAGATTATGTTGTTGTTGATGTTGTTAATCTCTTAGCCTCAGATTCAGTGACTATTCATTGGCATGGTATTTTCCAACAAGGTTCTCCTCATTATGATGGTGTTCCACACTTGACACAATGTCCGATTTTGATGCACGATACGTTTAGGTAAAATTTGACATAATTTTTCAAATTAAAAAAATTTGAAATGATTTTTAATTATTAAAGAATATTTTGTATTTCAAACATATGAAAATATTACATGACGATATTATTAATCATCTATTACTTTGTTTTAATTATTTTATCTTGCATAATTTATAGGATCTTAAGAAAATTAAAAACAAGAATATTAGTTTATTTACTAGAATAATTATTGATGAGATTTTATTATAAAATAATAAAATATGATCAAGATAATCTCACAAACAAAAATCAAGATAATATATTAATTTTATCAAATAAAAATTAATCTTTTTTTTTCTCTATATTCATAGAATATAGAAGTTTTGTCAATAATTTTAAATGAAAAATTTTTTCTTAGGTATCAATTTTTTGCTAATAACTATGGTACTCATATGTGGCACGCTCACACTGCAGCACAGAAATTAGATGGTATATTTGGTAGTTTCATTGTTCGAGAACCAATCGAAAATGAACTTTATTCGAATCTTTATGACTTCGATTTAGCAAATCACATAATTATTGCTAATGACTGGTTCAAGGAAGAGTCTACAGCTCGATTTCCAGGTCGTAGAGCTGGTGCGGTTCGACAGATTGCTGATTCATTCTTAATCAATGGAAAAGGAAGATTCATAGTAAGAATATTTTTATTTTTTAAAATAAAAAATATATTTAATTGTAAGATTTTATCCAATGAATAAATGACTAAAATAAGAATATTATTAATTATAAAATATTAATGTTAATTAAAAAATTGTATCTTTACTTTAAATTTCAAATTTTTTGTAATTTCACGTGTTATAGGATTCCAGTGGTGTTACAACAAATATTCCTTTTGAAATGATTACTGTAGACGCTAATCAACGTTACCGTTTCCGTTTCATAAATTCTTTTTGTACTTCTTGTGCTGCAGAATTAATCGTCGAAAATCATAATCTTACCGTTATTGCTTCTGATGGTCAATTTTTAAAACCTGAAGTAGTTGATTCTATAGTTTCTCTTGCTGGTATGATGTTGATAAAAATGCATAAAATTAAATTCTGTTTATTTAATTATTTTTTTAAAAAATTCTTATAGGGGAAAGATACGATTTTATCATTAATGCCGATCGAGAACCTGGTGCATATTGGATACAACTTCGTGGATTAGATGAATGTATTCATAATCGTGTGCAACAATTAGCCATTTTACAATATGAAGGAGCGTCAACTACATTATACACAGATGAACCTACTCATGATAATCCTCTTACTTCTGGAATTGTAAGTTCCTTTTCGCTATTTCATATAAAATAATTGAATAAAATAAAACTAAAATATGATAATTGAATTAAAGCAAGAGTTTTCTCGTTTTTGTTATTATTATTATGTCTTTACTTATTAAGAGATCTTATATTAGAGATTATTTATTAAATAAATCATTTTTTATAAAATTATTTAAAAGAAAATTATGAAATATTATGTAATAATGCTTTCTTAATATACTTAAAAATTTATTGTATCATTAATTCTTTTAGCATAGCAATTCTAGTTATTAAAAAAATATTATAATTTATAACAAAACATTTTATATAACATAGGTATTGGATATGGCAGCCAACAATTGCAATGTTTCATTTCCAGATCAAATTTGTGGCAATAAATTAAATCATGCCTTACCAATTGATTCAGATATTTTAAAGAAAAAACCTGATGTGAAATTATTTTTAACCATAGGTTCATATAATTATAAACCAAAAGAACTTTTCACACCCAATACGTATAAGAGTTTTATTGGTAAGATATAACTTTTCGATCATTTTATTTTCTTTTCATTTTTGAAAAAAATATGATTGAAAAAAAAATGGTTTGAAAAAAAATGATTTGAACAAAATATGACATGAATATATATATATATATATATTCATTTTTGAAAAAAATATGGTTGAAAAAAAAATGGTTTGAAAAATAATGATTCGAACAAAATATGACATGAATATATATACATATAAATTTATGTATATTTATATATATATACATAACTTACATAAATCTTTATAACAAGATAAAAATTCTTTTTTTTTTTTTAATTTATTGTTAATAGTTCCATCACCAAATATTACATCAATCACTATGTTGAACAATATAATTTCAATTTCTCCATCTTCTCCACCACTTTCTCAATTGCAAAATATTTCACCGGATATAATTTGTAACGCTGAGAATTTACCATCTAACTGCAATTCCAAAGCTCCGTGCAGTTGTATTCACTTGATTAAAATCCCATTAAATTCTATCGTGGAAATTATTATGATTGATGGATGTAAGTATATTGAATGTTATATATGAAAATCGAATAAATGGATTAATACTTTTCTGCCAATATTATATATAATTTATTTTGAAACAAGTTATTTATTGATATTTTTTTTTCTTCGTCATAATTATCTTAAAATGAAAATATTGATACAAATGTTGTACATTCTGCATTGTTCTGCAGTTGATACAAACATTTTACGACATCCCTTCCATATGCATGGATTCGTATTTTATGTTATGGCCATGGGTCAACCTTTGGGTCCAATTACAAAGACGAATATTAAAATGACAGAGGAATATTTCAAAGAACTTGACGATAATAATCAAATAGAAAGGAATTTCGTTTCTCCTCCAGCAAAAGATACCCTTCCAATACCAAATAATGGATACGCTATACTTAGATTCCGCGCGAACAATCCAGGTAATAATTTTTAATCTTTAAAAATAATAGTAATTCTTTGAAAATAGTAGTCTTAAAAATTTTAATTTGATAAATAATTATATGGAATATCCAAAAAAAAATGAAAAATAAATTAAAAAAATATCATTATATATATATAATTTTGAATTTTTTTTTATATTTTTCTCAAAATAATATTTTTATATTATTTTAATTTCATGAGAAATGTAATTTAATTCTATATAATGTAATTGTTATCAAGGTTATTGGTTGTTTCACTGTCATCAAATCTTCCATGCTCTAACTGGTATGGAAGTCACTTTACAAGTTGGAGAACCATCTGACATTCCAGAAACTCCGAAAAATTTTCCAAGATGCGGAAATTTTAAACCGGCAATAGAATTTTAAGATAGAAATAGTTTAAAAATGTTTATTAAAATTGCTGATAAAAACAATATTTTATAAATATAAATATATATCTAAATATAAAAATATGTACATGTATATAAAATATATGTATAACATATAAAAATATAAAAATCAGAACGAATAGATTTTATTTAGATTTTTAATATATTGGACAAAAATGTAATTAAGAAAATGATATGACTTTTAAATGATATATTTTATGCATAAATTTGTACAGCATTTATAAATAAGTAGAATAATGAAAGAAGAATAGATATAATAAAAATTGTGAAATCAATATCTCTCAAGAATGCCACAAATGAAATAAAATAAGATAATGAATAAGATAAAGAAAGAGATAGAGATAAAACAAAAATTAACTATCAACAAAACTTTTAAAGTATTAAAAATATTTTTTCAAGTAGGATAAGATTAAGAATTAAAAATTAGTGACATCTTCTGAAAACTTTTAGAACTTACTCTGATTTTAAAGAGATATCCAAGAGATGGCATGAACGATCAATTTTTACTATATTTTTATCCTTATTATTTGCTCTTCTTAAATTAAATCCCATAAATTTATCTTATATTTGTTTCTTACTATTTACTTTCTTTATCTGTATTTATTCTAATCTTATGTGCTCAAAAAATAATATTGATTTTTTATTAAAATTTTTGTATTAATTAGACATTTTTGTATTAATTAGAGATATGGATTAAAAATTTTAATAAAAATCTTTATCATTCAAACTTTATATTTCATAAAAATATATATTTTATATGAAAATTTTCCTTATTTTTTCAATTTTTATGCAAAATTTTTGTTCAAATTTCAATTTTAATTTATATTATAAAAATATAATTGAACAAATGGCACAATTCTTCTAATTCTTCTATTTTTTCTCTCTTCTGTTAAATTTCTGACTTATTTCAAATTTTGGACTTAATTTTTATGTTAAATTCCTTTTTTTCTTTTTTTATTTCTTTCGATATATTTATTGACAAAAATTAAGAAACAAATTCTTTATGAACTTCTTTATTTTTTATCTTTTGAGATGAATATGTTGAAATTAAAATTAATATAAGAAAATTATAATATATATATATATCAATAATAATATTAAATAATAATTTTTTTTCGATAATTTTTTATGTTTGTATAAAGATTAAGTAAAAATAGAAAGTATAAATAAATTTTTAAATAATTAAATTTATTTCTTTTGTCAATAAATATATTTGTGATCTGAGCTAATGACATCATCTATACATAGATGTATTAGTCTGTCGGTAAAATCACTATCATATCTATATTCCACCCTTTATTTCTATTTATATGTTTTCCATTACAGCTGATCGAAACCCATATAAACTATTAGACTAAACACAAATATTGCAAAATAGTCACAGATATTTATTGTCTGTGCAAAATGTACAGAAATCATCACAGGAATACAAAAATGATTGATAATTAATAAAAAGTGAATAGAGACATCTAATCAGAAGAAATTTCCATTTTTCTGTAATGTCAAAAAAGTTATCATGCTTCCAATATGTTATTTTTCTAGACGATATCTCATGATTCTACAATTTCACGTTCTTTTAATTTTATTACTTTTTCCAGGTAAATTTATACATACACATATATTTTCTAAATATTTCTTTTCATCTTTTAAATTTGTAATTTAATTTTTTTTTTGTAAATTTATATTTTAAGAGTTATATTTTAAAATGATTTTATATTTCTTTTTTTCTTGTTAAAAATTATATGTATAATTATAATTTTTAAATATTCAATCAAGTATTATATGTAAGTATTTAATCAAGTATTAGAAATTATATTTAAATATTTAAATATAATTTTAATATAGTTTTATATAAATAAATTTATATAAAATGTTTAATTTAATATATAATTAAAATTATATTTAAAGCTATTAAATTATATTAAATTATATTTTTAAGCTAAAGAATGTATTATGCCAGAAGCAAGTCAAGAAGGATTATTACATTCTTTTAAAAGTTATTCAGATGTAGTTATGTTTCATTACACAGTTCCAAAAGAAGTACTCAGAGCTACTTGGCAATTTGCAGCATTTATGGATGGTCAAGATTGTCTAGAAAGAAATGTACATATGTAAATATTTTTTTTATTTTGTTTTCAAAAATACATAAGAGATATAATATGATATTTATTTCTAATATTCATTTCTAATAATTTTTAGATACTTACAATGGGGTAGTTACCCTGTGATATTTATAAATAATGATACATTTCCTAGTAATATGTATCCGAAACGTAATCATACTATTATAGTTTCTACAGTTACAACATTTGAACCAAAAACAACTGCAATTGTTCCAGTTTATGGACCAGAAGCTGGTGATTGGTTTGTAGGAGCATATTTATCTCATTGGGATGAAAAGGTTCAGCAGCAGGTATACTTTGATTTATCTTTCCTTAAAATAATCTAAGATTATTTTATATTAATTCTGCAATTTTTTATATTTTAGGGACTTGGTCATAAATGTCATTATAGTATAGGTTCGGTAGCTATATGGACACAAATTAATAGTATTGAAAATATTCCTATTGGTTATCAACAAACTTTAAGAACAAAAGAAACTACTTCTTACTACAAGTAAAGAATATAATTTCTCTATGCAGTTCATAACAAAATTTGAAAATGATTAATATATTGGATTTTTATCTAGGATATATATCCCATCAGGAACTTGGAATTTTCGCTTAGATATTTGGGATTGTAATTTTACAGTGCTTAAATTTCATAGTATAGATGAACCTTGTATAAAAAATATGGTTCTACAAGGACGTTCTTTGCCTATTTTCAATCATTCTCAACCAATTAAAAATAAAAGTTTAACTATGTTAGATTCATATACTTTTATAGAATCCTCTCCTTATGAAGATAGTTATTATTATTTGATGATTGTTTCAGATAGCATTATTGAAGTAAATGTTAAAGTAGTTACTTTTGGTAACTTTATTATTTTTATCCTTAATTATATTTATTTTTAATTATATAATTTATATGAAATTTATGTATCTTTTTCATTGTATTTCATTTTACAGAATGTCCAATCAGAATAACAGAAAAATCTTTCATAAGACAATATTTAGATGCACCTTCATTTTCTAAAGCATTAGCTCAATTGCATATGAAAGATTTAACAAATCATTTGCATTATAATGAAAATAAAAATAATGAATCATTTTATAATGGAAATAACTTCATGAAAAATCAATTTCATGTATTAGATGAAAATTTTGATGATTCGTGTGTTCCAAGATATCAACTTGTTAGAATTAAACATTCGCAAACATTTTCAGGAGCCTATCTATTACAGGTATTAAATTTATAATTTAATATAACTAATATAATTAAATATAACTAATAATATTAATAATATTAATATAATTAATAATATAACTACAAAATTTTTAAAATATAACTAATAATAAATATAAGAAATACATTAATTATGTGCATATAAAATATGATTTTCAGGGTAGAGAATGGTTAACTTCATGGGTGATATTAACTGATATACATCCAGTAATTACACAATTTAATATTTTACCATTAATTGATATTGGTGGTACACTTGATATAAGTGCTCGTTTGGAAATGGATAAAGTAAGTAACTAATGATGAAAATTTTTCACTATAATTTTTTATTTAATTTATTATATGTTTTTCAGATAATAACAAAACAATTAGTAAAAGTTATACTTTGTATTCGACGTGGACGGATTCCAAATAGAATTAAGAATAATATTATATGTGAGAATTCAAGAATGTCAATGATCTTATCTTCATTTGATAAACATGATGGAAGTTTATTGATTCCATATCCACAACCAGATACTTGGTATGTTACCTTAGATGCAACATGCTATTTTAATGGGTAAGATTATGTTGTTATATTATTTATTAAATGTTAAAAATATTAGATATGTATATATTTAATAAAAATAAATTTTTTATTATAATATACAAATTATTTTTATTTATAATAATAAAACAAAATAATATATTGTTAATTAAATAGAAGACCAGTAAATTGTGAAATGGAAGAAATTTTAGTATCATTAGATATAAGGACTAGACAATGTGTATTTCCTGGAAATTATCCATGTGGTCATCATGGAACCTGTCAAGAAATTCATCATGATATTCTTTATTATACAACGTGTAAATGCTTTGAAGGTTTAATTATTATTTAACATTTAGTGTTATAATTTATGTAATTATTACTTAAATATATATAATACTATGTATTACATAGGATATAAAGGATGGGGTTGCACTGATGCTACTAGTGCTAATTCTGAATCTTCTCTTCTCATAACAACATTGATGCTCACTTTAAGTAATGGTTTTTTTATACCTGCTATATACTTAGCTGTTAAACGTGGATTGTATACCGAAGGATTAGTATATTTAGCAACTATGCTTTTTTCCTCTATGTATCATGCTTGTGATCAACATGTTATGACTTATTGCATTGCAAAGTATGAAGTATGTAAATTATTTTAAAATTGTTTCATATATTTATTTTGCGACTATATAAAATAAAATTATATTTTCATAAAATAATATTTTCGAAAATTTATATTACATATAAAAGATTTTATTGGATAAATTTATTTCAGGTTTTACAATACAGTGATTTTTTTTCAAGTATATTAGCATTTTGGGTAACACTTATTGCAATGGCTGAATTACCAATTCATTTTGTATCTGTATGTCATATGTTTGGAGTTTTCATTATAGCTTTTGGTGTTCAATCCAATAAAACAAGTCTTATTAGTATATTAATACCTTTAGGAATGGGTATTATGATTCCAGTAAATAAATAAAAGAAACATTTATAACAGTATGATTTCTTTTTTTTTTTTTTGAAAATATATTTTTTTTTTCAGATGGGGACATATGTTTATCGATGTTTTCACTTTAAAAAGTGGAAAAAACCTATTAACACATCAAAATTATTAACTGGTTTAACACTTGCAATTATAGGTTTATTGCTCTTTTCTTTAGTTGAAACAGAATCCAATTATCAGG